AATTAATTAACTGGCATGATATGTTAATTAGCTTTGTTATACCCTAACAAAGCAGTCATGAAAGTGCAGTCTGAGGAGCCTGGCTGGTACGGTAGGGTTGGCCTTGACGTGTTCCCACGTTAAATTTTTTATAATCTCCTCGGCAAGAGGACAGCTTTGACAGTAGAAGTCCTCCTGGAGCCTACCGGCTTCGGTGAACGCAAGAACTCCGAAAGCTAACATGCAAAGCAACAAAGAAACAAGATTCTTCATCTTGACAGGATAGAGATAATCAATAATCTAGTAGTTCTAGGTGGAGACTGTATGCTCTATATTGGAATGCAGAATAGAGAAGACATACCTTTGCCTTTTATAGATGTGGAGTAGGCATCTATCTTAACTAAGATCCAGCTAAGAAAAGAAACGTATAATAATTAATATTACTTGGAGAGAGAAGAAGATTCGATTTTTATAGTTGTATGTATCCACCAGGACCTTAATTAGCTTTGTCCTGTATATTCCGGTAAATGTATTTTTCTTTTCCCTATATATATATTTATAAATGATAGAAGTTATCAATGACACGTGTTTTGAGAGGTGATACTTATTGAGGTTAAGGCGTGCGTCAATATAATCTTAATTAATACCTCCAAGTCAATAGACATCTTAATTATTTGCAAAAAGAATGATGAAAATCATGTGTTCGTTCAATACCCAAGAATACAAAAATTATGGATGAGATGCTACAATTGGTGGGGGATTTCCTTGTCTTTCCCCAACTCAATTGATCTATTTTGTAAAGTTCACAGCCAAGGGATTAAACAACTGATAAAATCTGATCTTTGGTTCCTTATATTTTTTGTGATTACATGGTCCATATGGTTTATGAAAAACTCTATTATCCATAATTCACAACAATGGGATAAGAGCAGAACTTTTGATTTAATTCAAAGGAGATCCTTTGCTTGGATTAGGAGGAACTATACTAACATAGTATTTCCCTTTTTTTCTTGGTGCATTTCTCCTTCTTTATGTGCTAAAGAAACTATTAGAAGATAGTGTTGATATTCATAATTTCAGCCCCATTTTGTATTATGTTTTGATGCTTTTGGACTGTCTCTAAAGGAATTTTCATGTAATGTGACTTTATATTTATGAGTGGAGTACCCATTGTACTCTTTATTATAATAAAACTTTTGATTTATAAAAAAAAAAAAATAGACATCTTAATTAAGAACGGAGGTGGAAGATGATTTTGGGGATTTTGGTTGCAAGCCCTGTACTTCAGTTGGTTCTCTACTTTAATCCCTCTTTAAAGTCCTTCAAGTTTTCCAAAAATTTCATTCGAAGTCTTTAATTGTTCAGTGAATAAAACAACACACACTCATTAGTACTAACTTTATCATCATAAGTTTAGCTTGATTCTAGAACTTGAACGGAGAATGTGCAACAAATGGACTTATAGTTAGCTGGCTAGTTACATTTATGTTGCTTTTAATTTTTGTGTTCGGTTAGTAGACTTTTCTTAATTAGTTTTACTCTTTCTAAGGCTGCTTAATTAATTAACTAATGTTTGCTCGGTTTAGAGGTTTTCCTTTCCACCAGCTCTGAGGATATGGGACCATTTATTCAGTCTGGGTGTCTAGGACACATTCGAATCACCCAATAGGGACTCGTCTCGATAGCTGGATCGACGTCCTTTAGGATGAGATGATAGTTCAGTATAGGATAGCAAATAGTAGCATGCTTGGTGGAGTAGGACACATCCATTCACTACAACAAAAATGATTTTTAGTGACAGAAATTTATGATAAATTTTAAAATCATCACTATAACTTATTACAATTATAACATATTTAAAAAATTAATCACAGATGCATACATATTTAATGATAAAGAAAAAAATTCATCATAAAAAATATATTTCGTCACCAAAAAATATTCATAGAGATAAAATAAGTTTTTGTCGATAAAAATCGTCAATATAATGCATTACAATTATGACAAAATTCTAATATTAGTCACATATACTTTACACATTCAATGATGACCAAATAATTCATCACTAAAAATATATTTCGTCACTAAGCATTGTTAGTTTTCTCTAATCAATGCATCTCACATCAATAAAAAACATATAAGAGAATAAGGTTTTGTACTATAAATATATCCCACATCGATGA